CATTGAAAGTGGTCAAGTCTTTTTATTTTTTCTGTTCTAAAATATCAAGCTTTAGATGTACCATTCATTATACAGTAAAGATTTTAAACCTGGAAATTTAAAGCTGAGTATCTAAATCTGTAAATGGGTCATCATATCCAATGTCACTTTTCCTGAAGTTAAGCAAACTGTAGGAACTTGGCACCTATAAAAATCAGGTCAGACTTATGTAGATTCTGAATTATGGATTTAGCTTCTAGCTTTGGGTACAAGTTTTGAAATCCTATTCATAATTAATGGACATACATGCAGGATCAGAAGTTGAATTCTGAACCAACTAGAGTAGTTCACAGTACTATGCACAAAGAGGTGGTTAGCTGCAAGGTGGTACCTTAGAGACTAACTGGCTCAGAGAGGCATTAGGGACACAGACAGAAGGGGCAATTTTAGCCCAATCTGGCCACAGAAAATGGTCTATAGCCATGACCAAACACATGTTCATGGCTGCAAACAGCTTAAAAAATGGTTACTGGGCCAGGTTGGGAGATCCTTATAACTTAACTTGTCACTGTTTTCAGATTGGATGAGGAGAAAGGGAGCAAAGGGAGCTCAGTCTGGGGTTTTCTCAGCCACCCCATCCTTCAGCACTGGCTGAGGAACCCCAAGAATGAGCTCTCTTCACTGCCTTTCTGCCTCCCATCCTGAAAACAGTGAGCAATGATTGGAAAAGGGTGCCATAGTGCCCATATTTAAGAAAGGTAAAAAGGAGGATCCAGGGAACTACAGACCAGTCAACCTCAAGACCCTGGAAAAATCATGGATCAGATCCTCAAAGAATCCATTTCTAAGCACTTGAAGGAGAAAAAGGTGATTAGGAATAGTCAGCATAGATTCAACAGGGGTAAGCCTTGCCTGAGCAACCTAATGCCATTCTATGATGAGGTGACTGGCTCTGTGGATGCAGGGAGACTGGTGGATGTGGTGTACCTTGATTTTAGCAAGGCTTTTGATACGGCCTCCCACAACATTCTCCCAGGCAAGCTAAGGAAGGATGGGCTGGATGAGTGGACTGTAAGATTAATAGAAAATTGGCTGGAGCATCAGGCTCAGAGAGTAGTAATCAATCGCTTGATGTCTAGTTGGCAGTTGGTATCAAGTGGAGTGCCCTGGGGTTAGTCCTGAGGTCAGCTTTGTTCAATGTCTTCATCAACAAGGAAGATCGCATAGAGTGCACCCTCAGCAAGTATGTAGATGACACCAAATGGGGGGGAGTAGTAGATAGGCTGGAGGGTAAGGACAGGATTCAGAGTTACCTAGACAAATTGGAGGATTGGGCCAAAAGGAATCTCATGAATTTCAACAAGGCCAAGTGCAAAGTCCCGCACTTGGGATGGAACAATCCCATGCATCAGAACAGGCTAGGGGCTGACTGGCTGGGCATCAGCTCTGCAGAAAAGGACCTGGGGATTACAGTGGACAATAAGATGAATATGACCCAGCAGCATGCCCTTGTTGTCAAGGCAGCTAATGGCATACTGTACTGCATTGGTAGGTGTTGCCTGTATTTCAAGGGAAGTGATTATTCCTCTCTATTCAGTACTGGTGAGGCCACATCTGAAGTACTGTGTTCAGTTTTGGGCACCCCACTAGAGAAAGGATGTGGACAAATTGGAGAGAGTCCAGCAGAGGGCAACAAAAATGGTGAAGGGTCTGGGAAACATGATTTATGAGGAAAGATTGAGGGAATTGGGCTTATTTAGTCTAGAGAAGAGGAGACTGAGAGTGGACTTAATAGCAGCCTTCAACTACCTGAAGCGGAGTTTGAAAGAGCTAGACTGTTCTCAGTGGTGGCAGATGACAGAACAAGGAGCAACAGTCTCAAGCTGCAGCAAGGGAAATTTAGGTTAGATATTAAGAAGAATTTTCTCACTAGGAGGGTAGTAAAACACTGGAAAAGGTTACCCAGAGAGGTGATGGAAGCTCCATCCTCGGAAGTTTTCAACACCCAGCTAGACAAAGCTTTGGCTGGGATGATCAAGTTGGGGATGGTCCTGATTTGAGCAGGGGGCTGAACTAGATGACTTCCTGAGGTCCTTCCCAACCCTAACTGTCTATGATTCTGTTGCTATGGGAACCTGGCTGCAGGCTCCCAGCCCGCAGCTAGATTCCCCTCCCTCTGGAACCAACAGTAAACTTCTGTTTGGTCTGGGGTAACATGTAACTCAGAACACTTTGCAGAAAGTATTCTGAGTTACAGCTGGGAGCTGCACTTCTGTCTGCACCCTCAGTTTCATAAGCAACAACTTAGTTCATCAGATGCCAACAAAGTAGGCTATTGCCTATGAAAGCTCCTGCCTCTTAACTTGTTAGGCTCCGAAGTACCACCCTGCCTGCCTTCTGCATGCACAAAGACTAAGTCTATAGATGTTTCAAATTACATTGCTGTCTGTGGGTATGAACATTATTTTCCATCTTTACTTAATGGCACTGAAAAATTAAAGCTAACTGAATTTAAGTTTGGGCAATCACTATCAAATCAAAACAATGTACTTAAAACGTGAGAGACTTTACCATTGGTCCTGCTGGTCCCAAAACTCCAGGTTCACCCTTTGAAAAAGAGAGAGAGAAAGTTAGTGGTGGAGAAAAACTATTTGGCAGGCCCAGCTAATATGCACACCAAGAAAACAATACAATATTGTCCTACCTTCTGCCCTTTTCTTCTCATCAATTTTGTTAGAGATCCATCAGCAGCAATGTTAACTCCTGGTTCCCCCTTTTCACCCTATAATTCACAAAATAATTGTATGACTTTTACAAAGCTGTTTTCAATAAAGTCGTACTTGCATAGTTCATTCAACTGGGAGGGTCAGTGCAGCAATACTTAAAAGTTTGAAACATAAGAGGTTGGTTGGAGAGTGTCACCCATGAAAAAGGAAACCATGTGACAGTTGAAATTTAATGAAAGTATTGGGTGTTTTTCCTTTTTTAAAACATGATATGATAAGCCTATTCCTGTAAAGCAGAAGTATCAAACTCACCCAACCCTCCAGTCTAGTTCTGAACTATGGGACTCTGTAGGGTGGATCCAGGCATGGCAGTGAGGCAAGCAGCAGCTGGGAAGTTAAAACAGGTACCACTTGCCCCCTGCTGCCAACATGCTTCCCCAACAGGGCCCTGAATTTCAGTGAGTGGTTTCAGCCCCAGGTGAGGTGGGCAGATGGTGGGGCTGAGTTAGGCCAGGCCCTGGGGGAAGGGCCCCTCCCAGCCATCTCCGGCTCAGGCTGGGGCTGCGGGAACTGTGAAATTGTCTGGGACGGCCTGGCCCGCAGCCACAGGCCCAGCCCCAGCCCTGGGCAAGACAGGACTGGGTGGGCTGGGCCATGGGGGCAGGGCCCTTCCCAGCCAGCTGCAGCTTGGGCTGGGGCCATGGGAGCTGAGTGCCCAGATTGCTCCCAGCTCCTCATGCCCAGGCTAGGCCAGGCTGTCATAGAACTGCTGCAGCAGGCAGGGCTCTCCCCCTCCTAACCCTCCCCTGCCACAAGGCTGATGGGGTGGGGAAGGAGGGGAGGTGGGCTCTGTGCGGCGCTGCCTCGGGCCTCAGGCCTGGAGAGGCACAGCACTGGGCCCTGCTGTGGGGAAAGGTGGGAAAACCGACTGCAGGAGGCCTTGGTAGCCTTTTTCTTCAGTAGTACCAAGCCCCACAGTGAGCAAACCCTCTGCTCTTTAGATTCTAGTGCTTATACTGGAGGATCTGGCCAGGGCTCAGGCAGAAGCTAGATTAGACACTAGAGGGCTTCTGGAGGTCCCTGTCAGCCCCGTATCTCTGTGATTCCCCCTCCTGTTCCTCCAAAAGGAAGTACTAAAGCACTCTGCAATAGCAATGTCACCGTATGGCAATGTGCAGACACGCTGTACATGTCTAAAAATTTAGGGGAAGGGGTGGCAGTACAATTATTGCCAGACTATGAAAATGATAAGGAGTTAAGCTGCCAGACACTAGCTCTCTATGTTGTATTTTGGAACGTACTCATCTCCCTAAAACACAAGGCCTGCTACTAATTCCTTCTCACCTGTTGTCCTTTTGGCCCTTGCAATCCACGCAATCCAGCATCACCTTTTGGTCCCTGGGGACCCTAAAAGAGTTGAAAAAAGAAGTCTGTGTTTAAGATCAGAGCTTTTTGGAAATCAGTTAAGGATAAGTTGTTTCTGCATTTTGCCAAGTTTAATTTTAGGTAACTGGAATCTTGCATGTTCACTCACTCCAGTGTTAACCCTCCCAGGAATTTCTGTCCTTTGTCTAAAGCCACTGCTGTCTGCTTCAGATAATTCTAACATTGCCCTTACAGTTGTTCTATGGCTGTATTTTGTGCCGCAAACTTCCATTAAAAGCATGTTGAGAAGCTTTCCATCCATCATGAGCTGAATTTAAGCATCTCTTTCTCTTGCATTCCTAAGGAACAACATTATCAGCTAAGGCAGAGATGAGAATGATATTTAAGTATGTGCAGCTATTCTGTTAATTATTAGGGATCTTGCACAATTTATTATGTTCATTTTTAAAAGCTTGTCAGTTAATTTTTAATAAAAGAACCAAGCTTTGCTATTTATATTTTAGACCACAATACCCAGAACCTTATAAACATAATCTTCTTGAGAATGAGTAAGCAAGTTGCTAGCATGTTGCCAACTAGGGGTGTGCGAAACGGGCCATATTTGATTCGGATTTGGCCCAAATCGGGGGATAGTGATTCGATTAGTTGATTCGGATCACTGTCCTGATTCGATTCAGCTGAATCTGAATCTGAAGATTTGATGCTGATTCAGAGGATCAGAGGTTCAGCCATAGACACAGCTTTAAGTGTTTTTTCTACATACCTCAAGGTACCAGGCATGGCTTGTGAATGCTGAAATGGTGGGGTGTATGGAGCATCCCACAGGAGTGTGGGGGCCTCCTCCCCACCCTCTCACCATGTGCTCAGCGGTGAACTGGAAGTACTTCCAGTCCACTGCTGAGCATGCGGGGGACCCCCCCTCCTCACCCTGCTGGCTCGGCAATTGGCCATGGGGGGACCCCAGGTGCCCCCCCACAGAGCCAGGAGGCACCAGTTGCCAAACCGGGGTCTCCTGTGCACTCTGCGGAGGACCCAGAAGTGGACCAGAAGTGCTCCTGTAGGATAGCCCAAAAAGCATTAAAAAGGTATTATTTATTTATTAGATCTACATGCTGTCCTTACCAACAAAGGTTTAGGGCACCTTACAGTAAGAGAACAAAATAAAGTATTAAAGTATTAAAGGATTAAAATCAATTATGAAACTAACATGAAAAATACAAAGGAAATACAATATGAGCAATTTAAAGGTTTTTAAAGGCTATTCCTTTAGACCACTTTTGGTTTTATCTTGATTAAATTTTCTAGGACAATTCCTTATCAAGTTCCATTACTGATTTGAAATGTAGTTTGAATTAAATTTAACCCAAGTGTTAGGTACAAATGTCAAGATATTCCTGTTCCAAAATGGGTACTGCATCTTTTAAAACCTACCTTAGCAGGTGTTTATTACTACAATAACTGTAACATTCTACCTATTTTTATCTAACTTACATTTTCCCATTTGACATTTATGAGGTTTCAGTATTTGTCAGGATTTGAACAAATTTTGTACAATGCCACATTTTAAAACATTAATTAGCTAATTCACATAATTAATAACTGACTTAAAACCTAAAAACACAGTGCTTACGGGAAATCCTGGTAGACCGGGCTTGCCATCTGGCCCCTGGAAAATACAAAAATACTCCCATAAATACATGTTATAGACTTGCAAAATGGATTGTGCATGTTCCATAAACCAACTTCACTCCATTAAGGTTGTATTAATTTTGAAAGCCCTTCACATTTTCAGCACTGGAGTTTTGGGAAGTAAACTATAATGTTTTGCAAGGGGACAAGAAACAGGGAAGGGCTGAGTTGAGGTGACATTTCTCATACTGCACACATACACAACCTTAATTCTGTCTCCTTTAATCCCTTTGCTAAGGAATCCAGCAAGTCCTGCCTGATCTATGGCAGGCAGCCCATAGATCAGTGTTGCTGCATCGATGGTAGTGAGGTCCGAATTCTGTTTTACATTGTGCATGACTGAAGTGGTGCTTGAGATTAAGGGCCAAATTTTATCCCTCCTATTAGGCAGGTAAGTAGACACAGGGCACATCTATGCATGAAATTCATTTGACATAATAAAGTTCAGCGCAATTTGTGCTGGAGTTTATTGCTCTCAGGCGCAGTATTTACACATACGTAGTGGTAGAATAAATAACTCCGCCATAGGATAGTATTTGTGTTGGGCAATACTATCCTATGGCAGAGTTAATTAGTTTACTCCAGCCTAATAGCACTGGATGTGTAGACACTGATACTTTATTAGCCATCTCTGCAGTAAACATCTTGTGTAGACACACCCACTGGCTCCTAAGTGCAATTCTATTCCATCCAGTTTGACTTCCTGAAGAACTGTTAATACAGTAGATGGGTTGGTCCTGCTCCTGTTTTTTTGTGACTTAATCTTAAGGGTAAGATCTACAAAAGTAGATGTATTAATAGATGCTTAGAGACTTGAACAGGGTTTAACAGAATCATATTTAGGTACCTAAGTCCACTTAGATGCCCAAAAGGTGGCATAGAACTAGCCCTAACTCTGAGCCACCTTGTTATGGGAATATCCAGATAGTTGCATGTCTCTGGAAGGAGAACCTATTCCAATAATGCAGGCACTCATGTTTCCAGAGGGGGATAATAGAATCTCTCCTATACAATAGCATTATAATTTACTATTGGTCTCAAGCTGCAATTTGTGTTGTCTACTAGGTGATATGCAATTCTGTCCTGAGAGCCCTTTGGATTCTGAATTGTAATTCTGAGGTATGGATAACACACCATTACCTTCCTGCTCCCTCTTGCCATTCCCCAGACAGCAGATTTAAGAATGTGCAGCTATTCTACATACAAAAAAGTAATCTTAACTGTCCAGCTTAGATCAGATGGGTCAGTTCTGCCATTCTAGTTGTGGTGATGCTGGCAGCTTATCCCTGCCCCTGCTGGTTTTCCTTCCCAGTTGGGGGAGTTCTGAGGGGTCTGTTTGTTTTCTCTGCAGCCCACCATGTTGCCTGCTGTAGTTACTTAACTAAAACAGGGTGTGTCTACACATGCAATTTACTCTTGAGTAACCTACTCAGTGCTGTAGCAAGTGCGGGGGACGGGGACAAACAGGGAGACTGCCCTGGGCACTGAAGTGAAGAGGCACAAACAGGCACTGCCAGGGTTTGGTGCAGGATGGTGCCACGAGTGGCTCATTCGGGGGGGCACGGAAATGGAGGGAGAGTGGCTCCTGCCACCGTGCACTCCTGGGCAAGCATGGGGGGCATGTGCCCCTCAGATCTGTGCACAGAGCAAGGGCAGGCTTTGCCCTGGGCACCCAACTTTGTTGCTATGGCACTGAACCTACAGGAGAGTAAAGTCTCCCGGGTATATGTCTACTTGTGCAGGGATGCAAAAGCAGATATGCTGCTCCTAGCAGCAGACTCCTCCCGCTCCCCATGGCCCTGCAAGAGGCCCCTGCAGCACCCTGGACATTCCTCTGTCTCCTGGTGGAGGCTGGGACATTGTTCCCTGCCACTGGGAGCTGCCTGCTGCTGGACCAGGCTCTGCCACCGAAGCCGGGGCAAGGACAATGTTCCCCTGCCCTGGCAGCAGGGAGCTCCAGCTCCCACTCCACAATCACAGGGCCTGGGCTGGGAGACTCTTCCCTTGCAGCGCCAGCTCTGCAGGTGTGGGGCCAGGTAGGGAGATCCTTATCTTCCAACCCAAGCCCCATGATTGTGGGACCCAGGCGGGGAGATCCTTCTCTCCCTGTTCCAGCTCTGTAATCATGGGGATGGCACTGGGAAATCCTTATCTCCCAGCCTGAAGTCCCACAGTTGCTAGGCTGGGTTGGGAGATCCTTATAAAATTCTTATAAGCATCTCCCAGTGCCAGTCTCATGATCACAGACCTGGTGCTGAGTGCTCCCTGCTGCCAGGGCAGGGGGACATTATCCCCACACCGACTCCAGTGGTGGAGCCCACCCTGACAGCAGGTAGTTCTCAGAGGCAGGAAGCAATCTCCCACCCCCTGCTGCCCAAGAGCACATTTGCTTTCGGTCAGGTGTCTATGTGTGCACAACTGCTAAGGACCAACTTGCAAGTAAATTTGCTACTTGAATTTGCAGGTAGTAAATTTATCACAATTAGAGCCAATTACTGTGCAGTAAGCATCTGCACATGGAGATGCAGACAGTTACTGCACAGTAATTAGTAAAGTGTCTTGTGTAGAGATATACAGGTAGGGCTAATTGAATTAGGACTATCTGCACTACTCAACTGCATTTTTGGTGCAAAACATGGTGGGGGACATGCTAAACAGCAGTTAGTCTAGCAGAAATGCTTTCAGAATTGCTGGGTTCCACACAGAACTATTGTAAAAAAGAGCACCTGGAGGAGATGGAGATGGAAAAGTCTGGCAGATCCCAATGCACAGGTTATAGGGAAGGTGGCAGGAACAACTTTTGAAACAGAACTTTCCAGACTCAAGGAGACAATTCAGATTTAGTCTGCTTTTAAGGTGGACCAAAGTTTCCCCCTTGTGTTAAAGGGTTTTTTTAAAATCTGTATTTAAAACATCGATAAAGGAAGTAAAATAACCCCCAAAACACAAAGGAAAAAGTATATAAGGTACAATTTTGTTCAGCTTGGAGAAATTTTTCTAATGTGATTCTATAAGCATAAATTTTCTTTCCCTTTAACAACTTTTCCTCTACTCTTTTCAGGTCTCCCTCAGCAGTCCTGTCAAAAATACCAAAAAAGTGTACTATCTTTTCCTAAAAGGTTGACCAAGTATATAAAAACATATATTAATCCATTTCATTAAATTTAGGAAAGTCGTCTATTTTAAATTATCCTTCTCTAATTTGTCTTGTCCAAAAGATTTTGCCTGGGAACTTCAGACTCTCATACATTAGTTAGCATCTCAAAACCATATTGCAAAAGCCTGAGGCCATTGGCAACAAGACTTCAAAAATAAATTTGTTTCATATGAGCAACAGAAAATTAGAAACCTTGAACTCTTCTCTAATGAGAATACAGACTTCTTCACCAAGTGTTGCACAGGCACCAGTTAATGCACAGTGGCTTGCCTTCTTATGACTTAAGTGCCATTTGCACATCGAGTCCATTTTTGGTCAAGGGGGTCTAGTATAGTATAGACTTCCCAAGGAGGTCCAGTGTCTGACCATCTTTAGACAGCTCTTCAAAACTTTCTTCTCTGAAATTTTTTCCAGCAATGAATGACACCCAACAAAGACACTTTCCAACTACACAACCAATCCCTAGCCGTTGCCTCTTTCCTTTCTCCCACAGGAGCAAAAATGAACAAATTTGTTTCTTTAAAAAAAAAAAAAAGATCTAAATCATAAACTCTACTTGAAGTACAGCTTTTATTTCAGAGGGAGAAATGTCAGGGACTCTGAATAGTACATTAGAGACCTCATGCTTGCTAATGATCTCACATGGTAGGTACTCCATTACTGTTGTGATGGGTGATAGCATAACATTCTAAGATAGCTACAGAGATACTGGAATGAAAATGATAATTAAGTCTAATGTTATTTTCTCAAATTTATTGAAGGATAGAAAAAGTATATATTTTATATAATTCTTAAGATAAAAACATCAATCAAACTACAGTGATGTGTAGGGGTCTATCTAAATCATGTAGGGACTTACCAAGTTTTGTGGGTTGATCACAGGGTAAAGTTCTAATTCTGTGGTCATTTCATGGCAGCCTCATTCCTTGGGACTGACTGGCAGAGCAGTCCCGGGAGGGAGGAGGCACGAGGGGGCAGCAGCCATCTTGATTGCTAGCTTCCCCTTTGTGAGGCCCCACCCCTTGGCACTGATTGGTGGAGAGGCCCTGGCAGGGGGAAAAGGAACAAGGGGGCAGCAGCCATCTTATCTGCTGCCCTTTGTGCCACCCTACTACCCAGCACTTTTTCCCTTAAAGCAGTGAGGACTGCTGGCTCCCATTGGGGAGCCAGCAATTTATTTTTACTAAGTTTTTTTATTTCTGATTTTGTGGATATTGTGGACAGTCCTGGATTTCAGAATTTCCGCAAAATTCGCAAACCCACAAAGTAGGTAGGTCCCTAGCTTCATGAAGCTAAATTTTGCCATCCAATATACACATTTAGCTTCTTCCAATTTTAAATGGGAATAGAACGGAAGTACATCAGGGTATAATTGTGTTCACTTGTATTATGGATTCAAGCATTTGAAATTAATAGAAGTATGTAAGAAAATAAATACATAAGATATAGTCAATTTGAGTTAGATATGAAAAAGTATGCTTGGTTACTGGGTCAAAAGATTGCAAGGACCAAACCTCAAAACTAATCTTAAGACCAATTTTGCTTTGCTTTGCATAGATGGAATAGTACTGAGCAGCCAGAACACTTAGATGAATCTCGCTTCAAGCTAGAGGTTTAGTTTAGTACCAGGAAACATCCAGAATTTCATGTGTTTAACTGAACTATCCCAACATCCTGGCTGTAACACCAAATGTAAAATCCCAAGATGAAAAGCTTTTTTGTAAACTAACTTTTCACCCCCAACTACAAATGCCATGTGAACAATCTCATTTAGAATGGTTCAGCATTTCTACTTACAAGGGAAAAAACGTACCTTAACATGGTTGAATTTAAAAAATAGAAAGATTTGCTCCTTGAAATGGATGGGAGCTGTGGCTGTTTAGGCCACTTTTTTTTTTTTTTTTGCACTATTTCTCCAATCTCAGGTTAGGCAGGCACCTGCAGTTTGGTTTTACAACTTGTCCACCTCTAATCTCCTACCTCTCCTGGGTTTTTAGAAACTATTTTAAATTAATGTAGGGAA